ACGTGCAGCAATTACTTTTGGGTTAAAAGTGAGCTATCTTCTTTTCATCACTCTATTTGTGCTTAATGACTCTGAGAAAATATCATTTAGGTATTTCTTAGTTAAATCAACTACCAAGGGAGACTATGACATCTGATTTGTAAATCGTTAACTTGAACCCTAAGGAATCACAACCGAATGTTGTAATTTAAATATAAGGTTGAGTATTTGAACCAGAGGTGCGACATTAATTGAAGATGACATAGTGGTTCAATTCCATCAAAGTGAATGCAGGAGTCTGTATCATGGGCAAATCATCATACTGGACTGGTTGTAAATCAATCAAATTTTCATTGTACTATTCAAGCACTCCAGGTTTACTAATGTATAATTTACAATTTAGTTTGTTAATCTAACAGCCAAAAGCAACCAAAACATTATTTGAAATCAACGGTGTCAAACGAATTTGAGGAATTGCATTAAATATTTTGCTTTAGTGGATGTGTATGTAGTAAAACTGTTTATTATATTTAGAAACAAGTTATTTCTCGTGAATCATTGGAAATAATGCTGCAATACATAGGTATTATTGAGGGGTATAGAATTTTATGTCATTGCTTTCAGTTCAGTTACATCATTAATCTCAATATGATCACACCATTTGTGCAATATGGCTTTAATAATATATGGTGTATATTATTTGAAATTTAAATCACGCTACCAATGCAACATGATCATTGATTGATTACAAGCGCATGTTTGCTGTTTCCTTTTCTTGGAGTGATACAAATTGAAATGCAATGTAATGTATGTCTTCTGAATCAAATTAACTTGAATGTAAATTGAATTGCACTACCAATGCAACGTGATCATTGATTGATTACAAGGACTTATTTGCTGTTTATATTCCTTGAAGTGATTCAAATTAAAAATGCAATGTAATGAGAATACATTTCAATGTGATGCATGTGATCGAATTAATATTCCCTTGAACGTATCCGCAGCACTGCGGTCAGACCTTTTAGTTTGTGTTGTTTATATTTTCTAAGACATTTAAGTTTGAGATAAACTTTGTGAATTTGAGTACCAATGCCTCATAGGAACACATTGGGAACACAACAATATAATTTGTAATTAAGTTATAATATTTTCATCAATTAGTAATAAGTGGGAGTGAGCCACGCAGCTTGCAAGTTGTGACAGTGGTTCCATTAACTTATGATAAGATAAATCTATATACGTCAACAAGGTTTACCTTCAGTTGATATAGTTTTGATTATTTTGTTTCTTGGCTGTTCACGGAGAGTTTGTGTATTACAGGTGTTTGTTGTGTGTAGTGCTGTTGGGTATGATGGCTTATAAAAGATATCATTTTGGATTTTATTTGTGCATGCATGTGGAATCCCTTGATGCCATAGGATTTCAATGTCAAAAATGACAAGACATCTTTGTTAGTTGTATTTGGTTGATTAACCATCATCATATTAGTTTTTTGTCGCTGTAAAAATGATATATCACGTTTTGATGTCTTGATTCTCCTATCAGACTCTTCAGGATCCGTGTTCATTACAATTTGTTGATAAATCCAACCGCAAGCTTGTGAAAAGGGAACGAATTCTTCAGGGACTGCCAAATCACCATCAACTTCTATTTCAATGTTATCATGAATAGTACTAGACGAGATGTGCTGTAAGCCTTGATTGTAAATAGTTTCTAAAGATGTATATCCATCCCGAATTTGTTTCAAGAGGGTAGGTTCGTCCGTCCAGTCGGTTGAGGTATTGAATCTGCAGCACATGCCGTGGAGAGCGCGGAAGAGGCCATTGGTCTCATTCCAGATATAGTGCTTGGACTCGGAAACAAGATCCCACTTGATGATTTCGGGCGCAAAGTACGGATCTTGTGAAGATACCTGCATCAGTCTAGGAGCTGGAGTCCATTGATGTTATCATCAGTTTCACAACAAGAGCAGGATAGTGAGGTCAAACATTACTTACCACCTCTCAAGTGCCACAGAAAGTCGTCGTCCTCCCCGAAGGACTTCATCATCAGGATATGAGGTTCCAGGTCTTCAAATGTAGGCTTGCCTATCTCTGATTTCGCGTCATAGCTCCATCTGGACAACAGGAACTTGATGGGCCTGGAAAGTGCTTCACCCCAGTTGAAAGAGCTGTTGGTTATCAACTTTTCCATCTTCTTGATGAAGTCCGCCTCAACCTGGGTGATTTTGGTGGTGGTTTCTACGAGGGAGACAAAATAAAACATCAGCCTTGATGCATTAGGGTTCAATGTGATAAAATGAGACAGAAGAGGCCGCCGAATCACAAAAAAGGCGGTCCAAACATTATGATTACATGAATCTTGTGGCTACTGATAAAGCATAAAGTTAGAAGGCCGCCGGAAGACAAATTTGGCGACCCAATAAGCCCACAAGGGTCTCTGAGGACACCTAGCTGACACAAAAAGGTCCAAGGAAGTAAAGAAAGATATGCGACAGAAGGAGTTGAGAGGTAGGGGCCGCCGAAATATAATTTTGGCGGCCAATGACAGCTCCATCTCATAGAGCAAGCAGGCACTACCAGAGTTGAAGTACTCATGGTGATGGAGAAAGAATGAAAAGGGTAGGACGATGGAAATATGTGCAGAGGAGGGTGAAGATAGGAATAGAGAGAAGAATGTGAGGCCGTCGGAAGTGAGGAATGGCGGCCACGTCTGAATGAGTGGAAAGGATAGAAATGCATCACCTGTGATGTCCACGTTCTTTCTAGCAAAGATTGAGAATTCACTCTCTGGAACTTTGTAGACAGCGGGCTTCTTGGGTTTATCAGCGTCACTCTTCTTCGCCTTCTTGATAGCTTTAGCTTCGACAATCTCCTCCTTTTTGCTTGGCTGATCAACCTTAGGATCATCCTCCGCGGTGACAAACTCGGTACTTTTGGGCTGGCTTCGAAGTTTCTTTGATGGGCGTTTCTTCTCATCATCATCAGAATGTCCTTCCTTGGCTTCTAAGTCGAAGTAAATCGCGGGGTTGATTTGAGTAGTGACAGCTAAAACAATCAAATCATCAGTCTTACTTTGAATAGTCGTGATATGAAGTGAGAGACTTTACCCTTTGCCTTGCCCATAGGAACTTTACGCTTGGTGGCCACATTTCGAGGGCGGTTGTTGTCGTCCTCTGAATCAGAAACCACAATCAGGGCTGAGGTGATTTGAATTTCCGGTTCATTGGAGGTGATGAGACGGTCCAGTTCGGCGGCTTTTTGATCCAATGAGAACTTCACCCTGGCCAGACTGCCAGTCAAATCATTCACCTCCCCTTCGATGCCTTCTTTGTTTTCGTCCAATCCCTCTTCCGCCATCGTGGTTTTGAGCCTTTGGTAAGTCCTGGCCACTACTCAATTGATGTCAGCCCGAGACCTTCATGTGCCTAGATAACTCAATACTTACTTTTGGCATATTGTTCACGCTTGAGCTCAATGAGCTGCTCTCGATTGAGGCCAGCTTCGTCACCTTTGGACTCGGACTACAACAAGCCACTTTGAGTATCTCGATGGAAGAGAGATGAGATACGACATGTACTCACTAGTGGTGGTTTTGATGCTATATCCTTCTTGAAATGAAGGTCTTTCAACGGTCTTTCCCCATCTTTCATGATTCTGTCCAGAAACTGAGAAAGTGCGTTTGTGGGAATGTCAGCTTTGATTCAACTTGGTAGTTCAACTCTGGCACTTACATTATTGAGTTCGGCCGGATCCTTACTAACTTATTTTTGAGACTAATATATGAAGAGGTTGTTAGGTATCTTTGTGAGCTAACAAATTGGAATATGCGGTCTGACCTTTGAATCTTTATCAATCTGAACACCGGGGTTTTTGTTCCCACTGAGGACTTCATCGTTACTAACCTACAATTTCAATTATTGTAAATACTATTGTTAGCTCACTCTATGATATATAGGACTTACTTTGTCCCCTGCAGGCTCTTCAGATGTGCTGGTGTCCATGTCCATCATCACTGAGTCCTCAGCCTGTTGTTCAAAGTGTAAGTCAGCGTTTTCTTGATCATCTTCATTGGTGTCAGGGCTATAAATTCTGCTTACCTGTTTCTTGGAAGATGCCTCCAAAACATTAGGATCAATATGTTTCGATGGAAGTTGAATCTGTCCATCTTCTTCCAGGTTCTGTTTAAACATAGCGGAATGAAAGGCATGGGGTCAGTTGAGGTGTGTTAGAGCAGAGAAATAGCCGCCGAAACTGATTTTAGGCGGCCTTGAGGAAGCCTACATACCTCTGGCCTGATGGTTGGTTCGGAAAGAGATTCCATGGGTGAATCGCCAGCTTGCATGATTGATGATTGCTGTTGAAAGCTGTTAAAATACATCGAGGAGATCAGTAATACATACTCAAAATGTGTAGGTATCAAAACAGGATGTCCAGGCCGCCGGATTGATAAACTGGTGGCCGTGATTGAAATCTTACTCACGTTTAATATCGGGTGATCTGAATGTGAATCTATAGAATGAAACAATTGAGATAGAAACAAGGAATTAGTTTGGATTGGGGCCGCCGTTTCAATTTTTCGGCGGTCGAATGCTAGGTCAGTGTGGTTGAATTGAATGTGGTTGGTTATGCTTGTGAGGTTGATGAGTGATGAGGTAGTGGGAGGTGATTGGTGAAGTTGATGAAATGTGGTTGAGGTAGTGGACAGGGGTTGATGTATGGTTTGATTCGAATGGGGTGGGGATGGGGCATGGTAGAAAAACGTAGGGAGCCTACACATGTAGTCAACTTACCTGCGGGTACGGGGCTTGGACCGGGTCGGGTCGGGGCGGGGCTAGCGGGTCGGATCTAAAAAATTCCAGAAATGGAAGCTGGAAGATGATCAAGGTCAGGAATACCTGAATTTATATGCAAAATTTGTCAGATAGGTTAGGGCTAAGTTGTCAGCATCACCATTGTGGTTGCAAAGCTGCGCAGCTGCGGATGCGGACCTGTCCTCGAGTGTCACAGTGTATGAAGGCTCCGGACCCGGACCTGGTCCGCCCCGGCCCTGGCCCTGGCCCCGCAAGGAGTGCCTGTTACCCTTGTCTCCTCCTTACAAATGTGTGGCCGCCGAAAATGAAATTCGGCGGCCATACTGTCTGTCTCAACATGTGTTTGTTTGAAGGATTTTTAACTACATGGCCGCCAAATTAACATTTCGGTGGTCAAAAGCAAGTGAGCCCATGGAATGACCAAAAGCCTTAATGTTGTGGCCGCCGAAAACCATTTTGGCGGCCTTCCATTCACATGGATTACCCCTTCTAAGGCATATTGTGGGGAGGGGTGAGCCGTGAATTGTGTGGGCCCCAGCTCAGTAAGGGTCTTTCTTGGTAGTGTCATGGTACAATAGCTGGGGGGAAAAGGACCCAAAGAATTGAGATTTGATCATGTGGAGGACATCCACGTGATTTTCTTCTTCAGCGCTTTGTTTTTTTGTTTACTGACATTGATCTTTGGAGGCAAAGAACACCTGATGGCAGAAGCTATTATGGTTGCGGCTGATGTTACTTGTACAGTGCGAGGTCCAAATGTACAATATTTTTTCCATGTACAGTATTTGATCTTATTTCCATGTTGAGGGAAGATGAATGGTGTGGTGTCCAGCATGGCGTGCAGGGTGGGGGCTAAATCAAATTCGTCTACGTGGTCTGCAAGTGATGTTGGTCGTTTCCTGGTATTTCCAACTTGTTTATATATTGGTTGGATATAATTCAAATCCGTCGAATCATTGTGTGAACAAAGATCTCTGATTGCTAATTGAACAACAGGGTGATTTAAGATATATGTAGACCTACACATGGGGTATGTAACTTTTAGCTCTGGTAAATATTTGGATACAATTATTTATCATATTCGAGATATTGTTTTGCATAGAAGACTCAAGTAATAGATGTGTCAAGCTTCTTCACAATCTATGCGTATTCCAAGCATAACGTGGTTTCATGTTAGATGTGATGGCCATATCTATTGTCTCATTGGAAGTGATTTTCCATTACGTCATTGAAGAAACCCAGATGGCTTACTGGTTGTAACAAGTAACATGCATCAAGCAAGTTACTTGATGGTAAAGTTTATGTTGTGATGACATGTGTTGAAGGGTTTGTGTGAAAAACATATAATCAGCATAAAATTGTACATCCCTATTTACAATTTCATGCTGATTATATGTAGTGAAGTGTTGATTGATAGTGTAGAAACAATATGAATTCAACTTATTTGTGTTAAATTCAAGACCAATATTGTCTTCATGTAGTGGTATTTAATCTCCAATATAACATGTTAAATCAGAAGGCCAATGATCAAATTTTACTTATAATTTCTAAATGTCTCTGAAAAATTGTATATATGATGTTTATGTTAGTTCATTTATTTTGATCCATAAGTTTTATGTACTGCAGGGATGTGTCGTGGGTGTGGGCGACTTGATGTGACCATCAAAGGCCAAGTTATAACTTTGTTCATTTGGAATACTAATGCAGCATTGTGAATGATTGGCAAAAACCGGAATGCTTACTGTTTGTTTTGTGAAATTTTGGACATCAGGTTAATCAACACATAATTATAATTGCATTCTTGGTTTAAATCAGTTATTTTACTTTTAGAAAAGTCATGAGACAATTTATGTATCCAGGGGGTTATTTATGTGAAGTAGCACATTGTTTGCTTGCTTGCCTATAATTGACTATAGGACACATTGCTTTGATTCCAAACAATGTATGTGAATTAGTAATTAGTTGTAGAAAACCAGTTACCATCCTTGTTTGCAGGTCAAGGTAAAATTGATATAACAAGTCTCATGTTTTAAACCATAAAATAGGGCTTAGCATTTGGTTGCAAGTGTTTCAATTTAGGTTCCAGCGGTTTGACACCTATCAGTGTCTTCCAATTAGTAATGGCATGGAGGCAACCACTTACACTGACATTGAAATGTCATTTTGTTGTGTAGGGTTAGGGTTATTATTCCTTAATCTTCTAACTGCTAACCCTACATGTATTGGTTCTGTGGGCAATCAAGCCTTGCCTATCAATTTATGTCATTTGACATTATTAATGGTTATTTGTTATGAATTACAGAAGCAATGGGCTTTGGGGGATCCACATGACCCCATTGTCAGTTATTGTATGTCACGGAGAATAGCATTAGGAGGTTGCTATTGTCTGTAATTGTCAGTTGGGATATCAATCTGGTGATGAATGTTATATCAAGCTTTGATCGGACTATTGATGCTTTGGGTTAGGGTTTGAAGATTTACTGTGTAGGTTTTCCTTTGATAGTTAAAATACCAGAGGGAAACTATGTTTTCATTAACAATAATGAAACAGAGGCCAAAGGTGTCATCAGTGTTTATTGTTGTTAAATTAGAACACGGATGTAACATTAATTGAAGAGGTTCTCGTGACTTCCTTGTTACTTCATTTGCAGAGATACTTTTCCAAATGATGTTTTCCATTGTAGCAATATGTTATTGTTTGTTAATTTGGATACCAGTGCCACGTACTAATCCATTGGAAGAACCCGCGTCCATTTCAGGTTATTTCATTTCATTGGATTTATTTCAATTAGTGGTATGTGGGAGTCCACCACACCACCAGAGAGCTGTGACGATACTTGACGTACGATTAATTGTGATCTGTGTGAAAGGTTTGTCTTTGATTATTTGTATGTTAATTATTCCAATGATCACTGGGCAAGTTTGGTTGAGGAGTTTTGCATGGCTTTGTCTATGCTTATTTTGCATAAAGCCTGTGCTTTCCGAGGTTTTTAACGTGCAGCAATTACTTTTGGGTTAAAAGTGAGCTATCTTCTTTTCATCACTCTATTTGTGCTTTATGACTTTGAGAAAATATCATTTAGGTATTTCTTAGTTAAATCAACTACCAAGGGAGACTATGACATCTGATTTGTAAATCGTTAACTTGAACCCTAAGGAATCACAACCGAATGTTGTAATTTAAATATAAGGTTGAGTATTTGAACCAGAGGTGCGACATTAATTGAAGATGACATAGTGGTTCAATTCCATCAAAGTGAATGCAGGAGTCTGTATCATGGGCAAATCATCATACTGGACTGGTTGTAAATCAATCAAATTTTCATTGTACTATTCAAGCACTCCAGGTTTACTAATGTATAATTTACAATTTAGTTTGTTAATCTAACAGCCAAAAGCAACCAAAACATTATTTGAAATCAACGGTGTCAAACGAATTTGAGGAATTGCATTAAATATTTTGCTTTAGTGGATGTGTATGTAGTAAAACTGTTTATTATATTTAGAAACAAGTTATTTCTCGTGAATCATTGGAAATAATGCTGCAATACATAGGTATTATTGAGGGGTATAGAATTTTATGTCATTGCTTTCAGTTCAGTTACATCATTAATCTCAATATGATCACACCATTTGTGCAATATGGCTTTAATAATATATGGTGTATATTATTTGAAATTTAAATCACGCTACCAATGCAACATGATCATTGATTGATTACAAGCGCATGTTTGCTGTTTCCTTTTCTTGGAGTGATACAAATTGAAATGCAATGTAATGTATGTCTTCTGAATCAAATTAACTTGAATGTAAATTGAATTGCACTACCAATGCAACGTGATCATTGATTGATTACAAGGACTTATTTGCTGTTTATATTCCTTGAAGTGATTCAAATTAAAAATGCAATGTAATGAGAATACATTTCAATGTGATGCATGTGATCGAATTAATATTCCCTTGAACGTATCCGCAGCACTGCGGTCAGACCTTTTAGTTTGTGTTGTTTATATTTTCTAAGACATTTAAGTTTGAGATAAACTTTGTGAATTTGAGTACCAATGCCTCATAGGAACACATTGGGAACACAACAATATAATTTGTAATTAAGTTATAATATTTTCATCAATTAGTAATAAGTGGGAGTGAGCCACGCAGCTTGCAAGTTGTGACAGTGGTTCCATTAACTTATGATAAGATAAATCTATATACGTCAACAAGGTTTACCTTCAGTTGATATAGTTTTGATTATTTTGTTTCTTGGCTGTTCACGGAGAGTTTGTGTATTACAGGTGTTTGTTGTGTGTAGTGCTGTTGGGTATGATGGCTTATAAAAGATATCATTTTGGATTTTATTTGTGCATGCATGTGGAATCCCTTGATGCCATAGGATTTCAATGTCAAAAATGACAAGACATCTTTGTTAGTTGTATTTGGTTGATTAACCATCATCATATTAGTTTTTTAAAGCGAAAAATTAAGAAATGGAGAAAGGCAGATGAGTTGCTGTAAGTTCCAATGTATGAAAACCAATTAAATTGGTTTTGGTATATTTTATAATAGCTTCAGTGGTATTGTTTTCATTTGGAGGTGTTTATGTCACTGGACCGTCTCAATGTAATTATGTCATTTGAGGCATTTTGTGCGTGGTGTGGTTGTGTAGGGGGTTTGATGTGGAGTGCACTGCCTATACGACTATCATTCCAATTTTACTTTGATAATGTAGAATTCTGATGGAACGTACCAGGTGATTGGGGGGGAACGCATGAGTTACTTGTTTCTTTGTCAAAAAAACTTGTTTAATTGTTATGGTTGTTTTAATGAATTTATTTCTTTAATTTTAATTCTCTAGTAGTAATGAAACTTGATATGTGTTACGGGTTTGGCTTTTGTGTAGTGCTTTGGAGTAGGAGGTTTAACGTCTAGTGTGATGGCTTGGGAATTATAACATATAAATTATTATTGGCTAGTATCAACCTGATTCCTTGTTGTTGGTTGGGGTTACTTGAAATCTCTCATATTTGATGTATTTATTTTTGTAACAAATTATGTATCATTTATGGTATATCAATGAAGTTATTCATCTAATTTCATTTGGGCTAAATATGCAATATGATTTTGGGGAGGGGAGTGGTAATGTTT